CCACCTGTTTACTCAGAAGCACGACTATGCAACCGGAGACGACTACCAAAAGCAGCGATACTCGGAAGAAGGCAAGCCTCGCTTGAACGCAGCGTCCAAGGTGCATGGAGCTATTTCAGTGGCAGATAAAAAAGACACAGCGTGGACCGTACACCCGAGTCACGACTTCTGAGTTGGACTAGGTCAGTTGTGCGGAAAGAAGCGGCGAAAACTACTGACAAATCAACCACATATGCTGACCTCGACATCGGCGAATGCTGCAAGAACCCTAAAACTACTGACAACGTGGGACTGTCACTCTCAAGCTACACCCCGTCAAATGTGGTTTCTTTTGGTTGTAGACACGAACATCGCCCGTGGCCCCAACAACCAAGCCCAAAACCCGACAACAGTGAACCGAATAATCCTGTGTACAACAGATTGACCGCGCTGATCGCAGGTTAATTGGGAGTCTGCGCAAGCACACAAGGAAAGAGAACGCAGTCAAACAAACCACACGAGTTTTGTCAAATCGGAAAATGGCTGGCTGGCTTCTCTCTCGGGCTAGCTACTCTGGGAAAACGAGTATCATTGGAACTCCACCAAAAGAAATACTTCTTGTTGCTGCCACCGAGCGCTCAGAGCCTCTCGGAGACACTTTATCGATCAAACAGCGCCAGAATACTCAAGAATTTAAATAGGCGAATGTTTTCCCCAAATACTTAAACAACAGCAAATTAAGTCGCCGCAGTTGTGGGAACCGAAAACCTAGTGCGATGGACATGAGGTACGGCTAGCCGGCTGACAAGACCTTGAACCGTTCATGCGTGACCTTGTCAGCTGAGTAAATAGCCGGGGTCACAAAAGCAAAAATGGAGGTGGAGATGGAAAAGTAAGAATTGACGACAAAGGGTGAGCATTATCTGAAAAATACGATTTCGGTTAAAACTACGTGAAATCACTGGTGTCACCATTGTAGGGGAGTAAAGTTTAAGGGATAGTTTTGATGGGTAGAGTATGTGAATGCACAAGGCCGAACGGGTACCGTAGATTAAGCTGAGCTTGTGGAAGAGGCAAACCGAAATCGCCACAGGAAATCAGGTTGGCTAAGTAAGAGCGTAAGGTACCTCAGGTTAGACCGTGTTGGCTAGGGACAGGCGAAAAATTTGTTTGTAGTTGCGATTTCCGGCTACAGTGGGCGAGAGGTTGCAGTCGATATTCTGAGGAAAAAGATTGCGGGTTTGTCACCAGACTGGGCATGCCACCGCCATGGCATCATTGCACTGAAATACTTCGGTTTCTGAACACTCCCCTAAAGGTCATCATGGTTGCCGCAATCGGAGGGGGTTGACACGTTTCGATGTGAGCTCGGTCTGGGTTGACAAGGTGGTAGGGCCCTAGGATCAGACCGACGCCAAGTCATGGCTGATTTCCATTCAGTTAAAAGACTACGTGAATGTGGGCCGGGAAACTGCTTGATTGAATGAATAACTGTTGTGCGGGGCATTCAGGCAACCACAGCCAAGACTAAAAGCTTAGGGATAGGTGGGATGAGGAAAATACAAATGGAGAGCAGTATCGTCTGGCGGGTGCCAGAAAGCTTAAGATAAAACTCTGCCCAATAGAAAAGTCTAGAAGGGGGTGACAGGACGCTGATTAAACCCAAGATGATCTAGAAAACAGGTACTAGCCAGGCTAGGGTAAGTGCCTAATTCTGGGAAATAAGGATTTAGTCGCCGATGTAGCTAGCAAGGAGGCTAGCAGATGGACGAGTTGGAACGGGCAATTACATGGTGAGATCACGTGGCAGTAATTTTCAGTTCACCAAAAGAATCCAGTCCTGGGGTTTCCGTTGTGCAACGGAGTGTTAATGTGAGAATAAGCTACAGAAAAATAATAAGCTGTTAGGTAACAGCTTCCAAGATAATGGGTAAGAACCGTAGTTCAACTGAAATCCACTACGTTAAAATAAGAGCAGGGTAAGCGTATGGATCGACGGTGACCAGGTCACTGCTGTCAGCAGCAAGAAACGAATTGTGCATGGCAAAATCAATCGTTGGGCGCTATCTGTAACTCCCGGTATTCAGGAAATAATAAGGAATTTACATTCCATATATATACCAGCATTTCAGAAAAAAGAGGGCAGAACTTGTGTTTTATGTCTGGATGACGAAGTGGCCCTATACTGGTGCAACCCAACTAAGACGAAGGCGGCAACTCCCTGAACGTTGAAGTTAACCGTGAGCCCCACACAGTGCCTTTTGGATACCCCGTGCATAAACTGTTACTGGTTACTGGTGTAACCAGATAAGTGGCACTCGGGACAAGTCCAGTCCAGCTACAGACGATTCACAACGGTGCGCTTTCATTGTTTTCTCGAATTATAGGCCAGGCTGAGAGCCACAGGCGATGCGCGATGCACCCGTTCCCCTGTAGGGGTAGCTAGTACACAGATCGGANCACCCGTTCCCCTGTAGGGGTAGCTAGTCCACGACGCACCATAGTGAAACGTAGCAAGGCGATTCTCCCTACAGAAACTACCCGTCCACCACACGAGGTTGTTATCTCTCATGTATGCTACCGGATCTGTTGGGTAACAAGGCACCGAACAGTCACAATTGTTGTTTGTGGGTAACTAAACAAATTCAGATATCAGCTATTTTATCCGGTCAGTGGAGGAAAGCTGGTCCAGTAGGATAGCTCGGTCATTTCGAACAAGCAAAGAGCGAACAGCCACTAGAAGAAGCACGTCACAGAGGCAAATGAAATGTCAGTTACCTTTTGGGTCTTGAGAGTAGAATGAAAGTGTGCAGAGCCTGCGCACGGCGGCTAAACGACGACGAATCATTTGTGTGAACCGTCATCTCAAAAAGAGGCGTAACGCAGTGTTATGTGTGTGTGTGTGAATGAGTGGGCTATGGAACTAAACAAGTATTTCATTCACTGCTCATCACCAGACCCACTATTTAATGTGCGCACGCTACGCGTTGTCACAGGATGAGGAATAGTTCTCAACAGTGAGGAAATAAGTCTTAATTTTGGTTGTGAGTAGTTAGATCTCGTCTAATGAAGCTGACAGAGTCATTCGGAGATGCTACCAAGCTTGAAAGAACTAGGAATAATTTTGCTGGCCACAGAAGCTTAAGGCCATAGGTGAGAAAATACAACGACGCCAGCAGACAGGCATAAAATCAATTACGATGGCACGCGCTAGACACTATCTGTGGCACAACTACGTTCAAGAGAGCAGGTGCAGATGTAGTCCCGCATACGAGATAGATAAGTTGGTGGTTTATCAACAAGGACACTCGGGAGGGTAGTTGTCCCATTTGCGGTTTAACGCTAGGAGTTCAAGCTGGTGAGTGTATATGCTGCGACCAAGTTACATGATAGCCGGTGTGAGAATGCAGATAGGAAGGGTTAAGGGGCTAGTTCAGAAAAGTGTCTGGTGTAGGCTATGACGCGAAATGACGCTCGAACTTTGAAATGGAAGAGTAAGAATCAAGGGACTTTTGCAAGCCTGCATGGGATGATATATATGGATACATGAGGGCAACTTGTTCCATAGTTTGGAATACAGGCAAAGGAAAAAAGTTTTGTCTAAAGAAGGTTGGACAAGTCGAAAATGGGAGCAAAAATCCAGAGTTTTTCGGATATTATATGGAGGTAACGAAGAAAATTTAGGGCGGTATTCAGCCATTTAAGCCCATCGATAGATCAGGCGATGCAGAAGGCCTAGTTTTCCTGGATTTATAAGCCATTTGGGCTAATTGCTCCAAGCTGTCGTCATCAACGTAGGCGCTGTTCACGCGGGACACGGAGGGCTGAAGTTTGACGAGCCACAGTTGGACCATGATCTCCACCGCTAGCTTACGTCCGCAGAGGAGACTGCGCATGTGGCGAAGCAGTTGTGATGGCGATCCGTCCCCAAGTTCGATAGTGGTGAATAAATCCCGTAGGATTTGGTTTTCTTACTTTTCTGTCCTACTTATGACGGTCGCACATAGGGCGTCATACGGATTTTCCTTGGGAATATCCTCCAATAAATCTTCCACTTCTGTTGCTATATCACATGGAAGATGCTGGACGACATAGGAAAATCGGGTGGCTTGGGAAGTGATGCGTCGGGCAGTAAAAACGGCCTCCATCTGGTGAAACCATACCCTGGGTTTGCGTGTATTGTAGTCTGGTAAACGTATGCTAATCGCGTTCTCGACTAAATCCGCTGAACCAAAGTGTGCCTCCATTACTACCGTGCAAAAGAAATAAAATTACGACGACTTGAAAGTAAAGCTTTCAAAAAATATCTAAAAATACTCGGGCTCACCAAATTTGTAGTGGTCTGGCTGCCCAATAAGTTAGTTTACCAGAAGTGTGTGGCAAGGAAATAAAAATGATAACGCTAGTTTGAGTATACAGTAATGAAGAGGTCAGGTGTAACAGACTCACTGAAGATTGTTCTCTTTAAAATAGTTCGTCGTTGGCCCAGGTCAGCGAATAAACAATAATTCACTTATGTTGGTCCAGGGGTCTTCTTCTGAACAGTCTCCACATATGACAGATTCCGAAGATGTCTGAAATGTTTTGATACCAGAGTTAGCGGATGAGACTCGCGAATGACCGCTGCGAGCGCGAGCGAAATCAGAGGAGAGAGTCGAAGCACGTGACCACGTTTGTACTGCGCGTTTTTTGTAGTTTTTCGCATTCAAACAAAAAACGATTATGCAAGTGTTATAATGGAAGCAAAATAAAGGTACAAATCGCCACAAACCTAACACGTCTCAGCCACAAAGGATCCCGCCCAAGTGACAAAGAAAGAAGACGATCATTTGCTTTACTTTTTGCCGCAGTACTACGGAGTTTCCGAGGGTCTTGGATGCAAAAAACTGGACAACTATTGCTTACCCGCCTTTTTGCTCGATATAAAATTCTAAACTTGCAGTGGCAACCTGTTTGTTTAAGCTCATCAATGGTTAGCAAATTACTCGCCGGCAGTTCCGTATTTAGTCTGCTCCGGATAGATGTCAGTCGTCCGGAGGGATACTCTGAGGAGACATTTGGACAAGGTAAGACTGCTTTCAAACATGCATATAGTTGCTCTTAGAACTTCAAGCCAGCCTTCGACGAGGTACGTTCCCTCATGTATTCCTTCTTAATTGAATGTTCAGTATGATGCGGACGGAATACCACTTGCAGAACTGAAGAGCTTGTTGGCAGACTCTGATCTTCCAGAACGACAGATTAGTGTACTAGTAAAAGCAGCAGATAAAGATGGCAATCAGCGGATTGCGTACGATGAGTTCGTTCGCCAGGTACGTTATTATGGTTAGGATTTTGGAATTTATCAATTTGTTGTATGCCGGTTTTGATTCAGATCGTGATATCTTGCTGACGCTATCATTACGACCTAAGAAAATGTTGAACAAGAAATTGCCCCACTTATATAGTACTAAGCGTTTCGAAGATGTGCGACCCTATCATGGTGTGACATCTTGTGCACACACATTGAGTTACACTGGTGAGTATGTGACACTAACAGAGCATCATACAAAGTTGGCCAATGGGTAGATGTATAGCTAAAAGAGTCTTCCGTACTTCGGCGACTTCAGCCTTAAGATATAGACTACTCTTACGGTTTTATGCAAGTCCTCGTAGCCTTGCCGTTTTGCTTTTGAACCAGAGGCTTTGGTTGGTGACTTTGAGTATCATGCCGTCATATGTGAGAGCTCTGGCAGTGTCCTAGCTCACGATCATGAACTGTACTTCATAAGTATTCAAACGCAACATTGGCCGTAGTTTGGTACCATTAGGTGGGTCGGTATACCTGCTTCATAGTCCAAGGGTTAATGAAAACAGGCCGCGGCTGGTGCCCCCTTCTTGCTGTTCCACGCAGTCGTTCCCAATCCTTTTCTAGCCTAATTTCCGTGGGCCCCTCCCTGAGGGCATTCCTTCGCCGCCAATCGCTGTTAGCGACTGCATCCAAGGTAACTCAGTCACGACCGCCTTAGGCACTTCGAACTCACTCCTCAAATGTTGATGTTCAGTTTATCTGGCAGCTCTTAGCGTTCGCACTGTGAAACGGACTGCCCTTGCATGTACGCCAACCTCGATCTGTATTAGTATGTTATCTTCTGGAAACGAGGATTAAACGCGAAGTGCGGTAATTGAAATGATCTTCGCAATAGTGTTCCCGTGCTTACGCTTGCGCACCTCTTATTTTTCTAGGGTTGATTCCGCTTTAGGTGTCGTTATCTTAAGCCATCGTGCTGAAAGGGCTATCGTTCAGTGGTTGTTTGTTTATGGACACCGCTTGCGGAATGGCGCAACCGATTAGATACAAGTACTGCATCCCGAGCAACCCTAAAATCGCTTGACGCTCGACATGTATTCTTCCTGGTCGACAGCACTCGAGTAGGACTGTTCGGGAATTTGCCTTAAGTTAAAAATATGGTCGGTGTATCGATCAAAGCGAACTTGTCTCTCCGGTTAATCTGCCAATCTGTGCAAACCGATGCAGCAGAATATCCTAGTTTCTACAACTACCAGGCTGATGCAGCCATTTTCGCGAGTTGGACTTACCGCTGAACCGTCTGATTTCATCAATTGTGTTTTCATCCCAGGTAGTTTTAGTAGGGTTGCTAGGCAAAACTTTACCTTAGGAAAGTGCGCAATGTGTACCTTGTTGCTTTGGAATATCAATGTCTCCTGCTAAATCTCTTACCAATGAGTGACTTGTGAACACCGGGTTCACCAAGTCATTCCAGAGCATGTTAGAGAAAATCAATTTGTTGTTCCTCGAGGTGCTCAGCCAACTCTTCTAGATGGCAGTGCTGCCGACGAATTGCTGTTGCATCCTCGCCATCACGCACTTTTTTGAGGCCAGCTGACTGAATCACATGAAACAGAGCGCGGCTGTTTGTAGCGGCAACAGCCTTCAATCCCTCAATGCATCGCATCGTTCGGCTTTGGCACCCCTTCGGTGATTAGCTACCATGCCACCTGATGGAAGGTCGGGTTGCCTTCAATCCCCTGACTTTCGCAATCAATTTATGCTCTCTATCGTTCTCTATGCCATTGATTATCCAGTGTTTTAGGGATCTCCATGCGTCATCGCTCTTGTCGGTTGTTCGTATGACCTATCTGGCATCAATAAGGGTTAGTGGTCTTGACGACAGCCAATAGTCGTTTGGTTGAGTTGGATGGTTTTGGCGGACAGTGTTGTAGGCTGTTGGCTTAGCTTCTTACGCTGTTTTCCACTCGCCATCCAGTAGGGGGCGACGTTCAACACGGCGTCACACAGCTCCCGGTTACCTGTACGGTGAGCATAAACTCCCGAATCTATCTCTCAACTGTGCTTCTTCTGGGCTCTCATATCAATGCCAGGATATCAGTATACCATTCTAACCGACGCAATCTTGGCAGACCTTGGTAGAGCCGACATTTCTCAGCTTTGGAATAGCAACAGTCTAGGCATGTACTGGTACGATAAACAAACATCGTCCACAGTTATGTTGATGTCATTCGATTGAGATAACCCTACAGCGCAAAGCGATTGTTTACTGAAATGCCTTATAATAAGGTGCTTTTAATAAAGGAAACTACTCACAAGGTTGCGGAAGACTCTTCGACAGCCCACGACCGGTTTCGCCCTTCTTGGGGAGTTTCCGTCAACCTTATGTTCTACTTAAACCCAAATTGGACTGTTTTCGATAAATACACTCTTTTGCAACTCAGCAACCTGAGTAGTTTCCTTTATGAAAATATACTGCGGTATCTCGAATATCCTTCCAACTGAGTCATGAGGCGGTCTGTGTGCACCACATTCAGTTGGAGGACATCATAAACGAAAAACATGAACGTGAAAACCAAATTGACTTGCAAATGAGTGTATTTCTCGAAAAAAAGATGCTTTTAATTTCGGGACTGGCGGTAATTCCCACTTCACAAATAGCACGGTGGATTGTCTTGGGGCCGTTAGATATCCGGAGAGTGAAATATGGAATATCTGAACTTGTCCTGAATGGCTTGAAGTATATGGCCATACTTTGGTTCTTTGTGTATGTGTTTGTGAAAAAATACAATAGGAATTTTATAAATCTCTGATACCTTGGAGATACGCTTCTGATACTTTGGAGATACGCTCATTAACTCGGCATTTCAAGAGCTAGAGGGAGGAGTGAGCGGTCCAGTTCTGCAGTGGGAAGTCAGGCCATTCCTGAGATTCCGTAGGAGGAATTCGACAATAGATCAGGTATCCTAGATCATTGACCTTGGCCCTTATTTTTCGGCGGTTTTCACTGCAATGTTGAATTTGGCAGTTACTTTTGTGTAAAAGGTGTGAACCTGCGCTGGTAGTAGATTTAGAGGCAACCATCCGTCTCATGGCTTTTTTCCACCTTGGTGAGTTACTGCACCAAAGGTACCCCTTCTACGTGGCATTCCTAGTCTAGTGCATTTACAATGTTGCTGATCAAACCACATATCCGTCTGCCTTCCAGGATGGGCTCTCTGTACCCCCCTCCTGCACATGGCTGGACCACTTGCAAGAAATGCTGGCTAGTCGACATTAGTGACGTTGGTGCTCTTAGTTTCTTACCGTATGGTCTGAGTGCTTGGTGATGTAGACACCTCAATGGAACCTCATCCTCTCTTTTCTCTTATTTTTACTTTGTACTTTAGGCTTCCTTTGTAGTTGTACAGCCGTGAAGCACCAGTATCGACACCAATTTTACTGTCTGTGATGATTTTTACCGACATGAAAGTAATTACCGTGCCACTCCACATGACTGTTTCACAAACCACTTTCCAGATTATGTCTGAGGATGAGGGTGTGTGGAAACGCCTACGCATTCGTGCTCGTGTTCTCAATCGAGCTGTTCTAGCAATCGATCCGGCTGCCGGTCGGCGTCATCAACAGGATGTGATGGTCAAATCTGGTATTGATTCACCGGATACATATAACTGGGGTGAAGCGGATGTTGACAACTATGTGGAAGCTTACGACTGCCGCCCACCTCCAATTTTCATCCCAGTCATCACACTGGTAGAGGTATGTTGATTGTACTAGTGCGCACGTCTGCTTTCCCTCCGTTTTTTGCTCACGGAAGTCAATCCGGCTAATCTTAGTTCTCAGTCCATTTTCCAAGTCCCCAGGCATTGTTGTAAACTTTTTGTCGGCAATCATCTTCACTCACAGTTGTCCAAAAGCTGTGGATGTCTACCCCGGTTACAAACACAGGCCATGTTTTCACAAGTAGGCAGGGATTTGCATGGTGCTTTTCGTCATCACACTTGGGGGGATCTAAAGCTTTCTGATTGCATTTCAACATGTTGAAATCAGCTTCACCATTGACAACGTTGGGATAGTTCCGGGTGACTAGGGCCAGCGTGAAATGTAATTCAGGAAACACTGTGTGGTGTGATCAAACACCACACTCAAAGAACACCGAATGATTCGTCGCATACTTTCTATTCGATAACACTAACGGTCGCCAGCGTGGAGTCTGATGGTCCCTTTTTCTTCACGCCCAGGCGGACAGTGGCATTTATTTTCTTTCATCCCATCTATAACCTAATGTTTTTTTAAATGCATATGAACCGAAACTTGGAATTTTCGAAACTTCCTTATTAGGTTCGATTTGTTCTAGTTCCTTCAAGACGCAGTAAAATGAAATTTACTAGTTACTTTACTGTGACTCTACGGCGACTTTCTCCTGCAGACCACTGCTCCCGGATAACTTCTGCCCATCAAATACGGTTCATCCAAATATCAGCTCATTGCTGTCTGGTTTTTGTTCGATTGCTCGACCCCATAGATCACCTACAGACTAGCTCAACGTCGATATTAAAATCGTCGAGTTGAGTTGCCTTGAGTGCAACACCACCATTCTGGATGGGGAAGTGGTGATAGGGGGAGTCAGGGCAGTTCAGAGTTTTGTTTTCGGAGGACGTGTCCCAACCACAGTAGTGTCCGTCGCAGAACAAACTTGGCGCTATTCGAATACACACGGAGCTGTGCGTTTGCCACCAACTGCGATGTTGTCCTTACTTGCATGTTTTGTACTGAGAATGATTTTCCATTTCCCTTTATCCGATAATCCGTTGAGGGTAATCACTACCCCTTGACCTCAGACTGTGATCTGCGTGCTAAATACACTGCCTGCCTCTTGGTCAAAAGAGATTTTCTAAAACCAAGCATTCCTTGTAGGAATGATATGTATTCTAGGGAACGTTTGCTTCGTTTCGTGGATACTCTTAAAAAGTTGGTTTGCAAGAAAATTTTGGAATCTAGCTTGGATTTTTTGTTCCTTGTTTGGCTCATCTATTTACCTGCTCCCCGCTCGCCTGCTTTGTACGGCTTTTTGGCCGGTTCGGTTTTCAGGGACGTTCGACAGCCCATGCTCATTCTTGTCTGTACTTCACTTCACCTCGCACTTTCGCTATCGCGTAAACAAAACGTGTTGGAATGTACTGAAAAGACTGAGTGCCGTTAACTCCAAGCAAAACATACTGACATGTAGCCTAAGGTCCCCCAGGACGGACCAGTTCGTCTCAGTTCACTTTACTAACTCTAAACAATGTCTCGATCGCATGTTTCTCGGTGTCTGTTTATTTATGGCAAAATAATTCTGTTAGTTTCGTCTCGAAAACTGGTGCGGACAACAAGGTGGACAAGCTTACTTGAAAAACCTAGGAAGTCGACAGGTAAGAATCTGGGTGTTCGTCGTTCTGTCCACCTTTCAGTCTACCGACCGATCCCAGTGGCGTTCCTGTTACTTGTTTTCTCTCCGACAAGTGTGACTGGACGTTTGACACCTCGGACATTCTTGTGAACCTAGCTCTAGCCACCTGTCTGCTTTATAATTCCCACTTAAATTTTTCTGGATAATAAAATTTGTAGTCAGATAAACTCATTGGCATATTACCTCGGTATTTATAGGATAGACAGCTGATTCTCAGTCGGGTTTCTTTTATAGTGATCCTCAAACAAATGAGATTAATGGTCCCGTGGGTCAAACGGGCTGGAAATTCGTTCTCCAAGTTTCAGCCACATCAGGGGGCCAAACGACAGCACATTCGCTTAATGGTAGTCATGATAGGAGGCTGTCTTTGGGCAAAGTCACACTTTCGTCCCCATTAAGAGTGTGAAGGTAGTAAGATAGACCAAGTGGTTAGAGCGCGAATTTAACTGACCGGAAGGTCCGTGGTTCGAACCCGACCTCTGTCACTTGACTTCTCCTGTCTAGGCCTGGGCGACCTGACAGTATCCCAGCCCTCGTGCCTCCATGTGGCATGGCAGATAGGCACCGAAAGGGTGCTACAGCTGGGCGAAAATGTTTCTTCAAAGCGCCCATCATGTCCATATTTCAGAAAGGGTGATTTACGAAAGATCCATTCTAAAATTTGCACCTCGGTGGTCCGTCGGCGCCGACGCATTATTCACTACGACAAAAATATTGTTAAAACCAAAGATTCTGATGTTGCTCAGAGAGCACCTGCTGTGTACCGTCGCACTAGAAGTGAAACAGTTATGTCTTACTCCATGCCCATTGGTCTAGGCAAGACTCCCGCAGCCGACCGGGCCAGAATGTTGATTCACTGTTTCCGAGCAGGGTCCCCCAGGAAAACACTAGCGCTTGCTGCGTCTTGGGTTAGATGGTTGAGTCAGAGGCTATAGCCCAGGAACAAAACCCTCCATTCGATAAGTACACTCATTTGCATATCAATCTAGTTTTCCCAAGAGACGCAACTGATGCTCTCGCTTGTGATATTCTTCAACTGAATATGCTGCACAAGGACCGCCTCATGTTTCAGATAGTACGGTATTTGAGATATCGCTTTGTGTTTTTATGAAGGAAACTACTCAGCAGTTTCCTTTATGAAAAACCCTTCTTCCAGGGATTTCTGGGTCAAGCTTTCAAGTCAAAGGCTCAAGGTGGGGCACCTCAAACAAACCTCTTTTTCGACCTGGGCAGCCGTGAGTTTATCC